AAAGCCAAGGCTGATTCCTGGGAGAAATTCGGTGAGGTGTTGGAGTCGAATTTCCACACGGCAAACAAAGAATTCTGGCAGACAATCCGCCGGCTCCGAGGTGAGAAGAAGGGCAGTCTAAGAGACTTGAAGGACAGCTTTGGACACCCTCTTACCAAGGACCATGATAATCTTCGGTGATGGAGGGAGTATTCTGAGGATCTCCTTAACCACGAGCAACTGCAGGAAGATTCATCTGTAGAGCAGCAGGGAACTGATATCACTATCTATATAGATGAAATTACCGAAGGTGTAAAAAGTTTGAAAAGTGGAAATGTAGCTGAAATCCGATATGAAATGCTCAAGGTGTTAGGCAAACAAGGCATGCGCTGGCTAACACGTGTCTGTGAAACTCGGATGACTACGGGAAAGACTCTAGCGGACTGAGGTACGGGAGCTGTTGTACCCCTATTAAAGAAGGAAGAAAACAACGAGTGTTCCAATTATAGGGACATTAAGCTATTGAGCCTCCCAGGTAAATTCTACGTCTAAAGGTGAAAAAAATGAGGCAATGGGGAATAACTGACTTTAAGTACAAGAAGATCAGTGTTGCTTCCAGGCCAGTCGATGCACCTATGACAGTATTTTTGCACTGCGCCTGGTTGTTGGGAAACTTGCCCGTCCGGAGAATAGGTGTTTTGTTGGAAAGAAATGTTGTAGAAAAAGCCTATGATCGGATCCCACGCAGCAGTCTGTGGTCATGTCTGCGAGCAAAAGGCCATATGGATGGCCAGCTGCTAAGGGTCATCCAATCACTGTATTCTGATAGGAGGTGCTGCTTCAGAGTATATGAAATTAAATCGAAACCACTCAACGTTCGCACTGGTCTCTGCCAAGGCTGCGTCCTGACCCATCTGCTGTTTGTGTTGTACATGGAGAGAAACGTCAGGAGCAGCCAAGGCGATGAGTGTATCGGTGTAGGAGATGTGAAGACGAGAAGGTTTGCTGTTTGCAGAGGACCTTGTTTTATCTAATATCTTGGAAAACTGATCTAGAGTGCTCACTGGAACGGTTAGCAGGCGAGTGCGACGCGACCAGCATGCGGGTGAACGCATCTGAGATGAAAAGCCTATTGCTTTCTTGTTCTCATGCATGATGCTATCCCTTGCGTGGGGCTCTCTTCAGAATAACAGAAAGGCAGTGGAGGAGGTGGAGAAGTTCAAGTACCTCAGAGTCGAATGGATGGAAAATTTACTAGTGATGGAAAATTTTGGAGGAAATCGACCATCGATTTGGAGTATGCAGTGGCGTTCTGCGTGACGCAGCCCGATCCACTCTAGTTAAATCAGAGTTCACTGTGAAAACTAAGTTCTCGGTGTTCAAGCCGATCATTAACCACATGCCTACCTGCGGTCATTAGTCATGGACTGTTACTGAAAAGATTGGAACCCGGGTACAAGGTGTTAAAATGGGCTTTCTTAGACGAGTTGCTGACCTCACGCGTCTCGACATGGTAAGTATACTGACATCCGGAAGAGCCTTTATGTGCAGCGCTTCTCCAGATTGAAAAGTCACAGCTGCGATGGTTTGGGAATTTGTTGCGAATGCCTTCAGAAAGGAAGGCCAAGCAACTGTTTCTTGGCCAACAGGCCGTCAGAAGAGGAATGGGCGGGCCAAGATTAACCTAGCGGAAATATATGGAAGGAATCTGTTCCAGACTCTAATTGTGTTATGCCGAAGCTCAAACTGTGGCAGAGGGCTGGGGACGTTGAAACAACTGTTTGACGCGTGTGCCTCCGCGTTCCGAAAGAAGTAGCCATAGAGGATGAATGGATGAATTATATTATTATGACTTTGAAAATTCTTGTGGTAAACGCCGAGTATCAGTGCCTCATAGGAGTCACAAGGTGGAAATGTTTATTAGGGCAAATTTCATGACTTTTGCGTTTTCTCTACTCTTATCGCTGTACACGATTAGGGTATGTGATATAAATCGAATGGCAGTAGCAGTTGGTTAGCAGATATAATTCGTATTTTGTCACATTTTGTAAATGCAATACCTTTAATGAAAACGCAAATTTTTTATATATTCAATAAACTTAAATAAATGATGCGTATGAGGAGAGGATTGGGGACCAATTCACGTATTAGTCTCCAAACAAAGCAGACTAAAATCATTTAATCACAACGTGCATAGCCTGAACCGATGATGATTTAACATCGGTCTAACAAAGAAAACATCAGACCAACGGTTGATGGATGTAAAAAGTGGAGAAAATGATCATGTGGATTTCAAATGGTCAGCCATAGGAATAATGATATCAAACACGGGTTAAACTTGCAATAATGGTGTCACCCATCTAAGAAGAGGGTAAAGTTGTCTGTTAAATATTTTCTCAGGTTTAAACGAGATAATCATTGATCCTCTCAGTTGGACATACCTACACATAGCGTAAGGGAGCTAACGAGCTAAGTTCTACCCTTAAAATTGAAACCCTCTGCCTCGTAAGTTTTGATCTGTTCTGTATGCATTTAACATACGCTAATGGCAGTTCGTTACGATTCAAAGGACAATAATCATAACAAGAACTGCATCCGCGGCGTTTATTGCAAAGTTGTGCCAATTTTGAAGTTTAGACCTTAATATTTAAACATATTTTCTCTTCGATATCGACTAGATATACTGCAACATAGATCACTACCTAATTCTTCGACTGAGCATGCATACAATGGCAGGCCGAATGGGACAATTACTTTTTTTTGTTGTGGGGGGGGTATTACTTCGTGATAGTAATATTATTTTATTAGTTTCCAGTAAAAGTCTGATTTCCATGATTAAAAACTATAATGATCATATATGAATATCGATATCCATCATATTGTTTTCTAAGATTTTCCAATTCTTTCAGAGATACCTCAACCTCAAACTAGTTTAAACGAAAGGAACTTTTAACAGTCGTGTCATCTCTACGATAACGGTTAATATGAGGCATTTGAATAGTAGCATAGTAGCGTTAACATCTGAAAATTTAAGCACATTTCTGAAAGCGAACCTTTTGAAAAAATTCCGCGGTGAATCCGCCTTTATCGATGGCCAGTTCGCCGAGCTTGCGTTTCTGGGAGGCCTTTTCCAGAATATTCTCCTCGACGGTTTTTTCACAAATTAACCTGAAAGCGTAACCGAGTTGTGTAAGAGGTTAATTTCCCCTGCCACGCAAAAGTAAAAACAAACGACCATCACCTGTAGATATGTACGTCCTTTGTCTGACCAATTCGATGACAACGGTCTTGCGCCTGCGCATCCATCGTCGGGTTCCAATCTGAGTCATAGAAGATGACCGTGTCGGCACCGGTCAGGTTGACACCAAGGCCGCCGGAACGCGTCGAAAGAATGAAGCAGAAGATCTTGGAGTCTTGGTTAAACCGCTCCATGTACACCTGTAAAAGACGAGCGGCGTCTACGTGGAATCAATCATTTACCATGTGCACATATCATACCTGCCGCATTTCGATTCCAGTAGCGCCGTCTAGCCTTAAGTACGTGTAGCCGTGGTAGCTGAGGAAGGACTCCAAAATGTCCAACATTCGTGCCATCTGCGTGAAAATCAAACAGCGATGGCCGTCTGACTTTAACTGACGTAGAAGTCGAGCAAGATTTTGCAACTTCCCTAAACCGGAACCATCGTATTGTTTTAAATTAATGAGTAATTAACTGTGTAGGTAATTAATTTACCACAGTCGTATTCGATAAGCCGCCGTTCCGGGAACTGCAGATTTTGGAAGAAGTGCAAAAAGTGTAGAGAGTCATCTTCGGCACTCAGCTGGGACAGCGCATCATTCATATCCCACGGGGAACAAGTATCTGCATCTTTTAAGCCGTCATCCATTGCAACTCCGGTCGCACACACGGGAGGAACAAACAAAGCAACCCTAAAACGTCAAATAGCGACCTTCAAAAGAAATGACGACAAAAATCAAAAACTATTTTCGAATGAACTATAAACACTCAAAGAATATGCAGACTTTATACAGAAACGTGACGAAAATGATATGCCAACAATTTAGTCCCCTTATAAATGGCTACAAAAAACTAACGACAGCAAGAAAGGTGCATTTCAAAAGAAATCTCTGAAAGACAGAGTCACATACAGAAAATATCTGAACAGCACTCACAAGCATCCAATTCACTAATTTACTGGAAAGAAAAAAGGGAAATTTTTTAGTCATATTACATAAAGAGAAAAAAGTATTGAGGAAAAACAAATACAAGAAGCTCACACATACCAGAAGGTATACCAATGACGGATATAATGTATCCGAGAAAACAGGACTGATCCAGACCTTATACATAAGATAAATCAGCATCACTACTAGATAACTACCGTTAAGTTTTCATACATTAGTAGCCAGCACAGGTGGCCAAAGACCGGACAAAAGCCACGAACATGTCTGAGAGAAAACATATAACATAATGCGTTGGAAGTACTCCTTTACTCCTTGAAAGTGATCAAAGGGACCAGAGCGTAAAAAATGTTTCATGAGTAGATACAGCGAAAAGAAGGTCTCAAAAACTCATTACGCTCTTGCATAAAACGGGAACAATGCTAAAACAAGAAACACCTGGCTTGTACATCATATTAACGGTACCTCGAGGAGTTACTTACACTGGTAAGACTTAAAGCTCGTACACTGGATACGAATCACTGCTTGCATTAGAACAGCATAGCAAATGAAACAAATTCAGCTATAGCGGAGTACAGAATCATGAAGAACCACTTTATTCAGCTGAAATTCCATAAACTAGTTCGATACACAGCAAACTGGAAAAAGAAGAAATTTTAAGAAACGATAACAACAGAACAGTACAATAGAAGACCTAAGTCATGAGATGCTGCGTCATAACAGCTCTAATAAACCGCCGAGTTATTATTTTAACTGAACTGTTTGGTTAGCTTCAATGGTTTATACGCTTAATTTCAAAAATCTTTAGAAGTGCCTCACAACAACGTTGGCCAACAATGGCTACATTGACCCTGGACACCGAACTGTCATATTGAACTGGAATCGGTGAATTTTCATCACCAAGCTGTATAACATATGGATGGATCGAACCATAAGAAAGGATACCTTAATGAAAGCAGTCGATTTGCAGTGCTTAGCTACAATCTCGAAACATCTGCGGTCCTGAAGCGTTATCAGCCTTATCTAGACAGATTCAAAGAACGCGAAGTGCGAAGAATCTTTCCTAGAAATGCAAAGGGACAACCGTTGGGCCAAGAACGAACAGGTTCTAACGATGCTCAGTATGAGAAAACTATCATATAAAGTTGGTGCACGGTTTGGCTTGACAAAACTGTCCCAAAACAAATTTCAGTATTTTCAAAGACTCTGTTGTCCGGAAAACTTGAATCGGCCATAAACATGTTGGAGGGCAATAAAAAATGTGGAAAACCTCGCTGAGAAAGTTCTGCTTGCGAAGAGGAATATGACCTTTGTCGCAGTAGTGAACCTTGTTTAATATCGACCATTTCTAACGGTTGAACATGATAACTGTAGGACACGCTGTTGCTGAAGCTGCATTGGTCTGAGAATCACGATAACAAAACAACAACGTGCACCTTGTAGTTCCCTTTAAAACTAAGTCAGACTGTTAATAGTAATTAAACTGGATCATCCGACAGGGGAAAGGGGCACAACTGTTTCAAGTATGACTTATTCTACATAGGGTACAGAAACGATAGTAGCCAAATAACCGAAATAAGAAAAGCAGCGCAATCAGCTCGACTATCTAATGTAGCCGTCAGCATCGGCTAGAATAAATCCTACTTTCATAACTGTGACAGAACTGTTTCTTACGCCTTATTAGTTGCCCTACAAACTTCATAATTTTCTCAAACACCAAAGCATGAATTTGGTAACAGCGAAATCTGCTCGGCTAAAGCGGGGGAACGACAGGAATGAAACCAAATGTGACCTGTCGAATACAGTTCAACATCACAGAATGCAAGATCGTTGTGGATTATGTTTCATAGTAAACAATTCATGAATCAGCATTAGACAGAAAATACTAAGTTCAACAAAGTAAACATAAAATAAATTTAAATCGAGTACCTTCCTCTGCAAAATACGTTCGGAAAACATACTTATTATGATATTCAGTGCTTACATTACAGCATAGCAAATATTCACGAAAAAGATTATTTCTGATGCTTCGAATGGGAGACAGTAAATGTTGCGAACAACAGATATTTGTCAGAGGCCAAAAACAGTAAATGCAAGGTTTCATACTGAGCGTTATTATATTACGTGTTCTACATCAGCGCTGCGCAATTTTCAAACGTTGCTTCAATGCGTTACCATGTATATAATGAGCATAAAATGAGGACAAGTCATTAAGACGAGGCGATGCTCAATCGATAAAGCCTCAGACTAGCAGCCGAATCATGAATTCGAATCTTACACATCACTCCAATTTAACCTACCAACTGAGATACACTAATATCACTGCGTTGAAAAGAAACAGAAGACGCGCTATAATGATCGTGCTCACAGAGCGGATTGATAATTATTCTAAAAAAAACAAGCCCCTATGACTGTTGCATGGTGTGGTCCAAGAAACATTATACTAATCAACGAATTACAGAAAACCGATATCTGAATGATTACACTCTTGCTTATCCGTACAATTTTGAGGCAAGTCAAATACCGTAATTCAATACAGTAAGTAGGCATAAAAGAAAAAATACTAAACCTGGCAATCAGGTCTTTGGCGGCATCGAAACGATCCTTCAAGGTATGCGAAATTAAT